ACTCCCAGAATTCCCCAGCCAGCATTTGCTGGCTGGGGAATTCTGGGAGTTGAAGTCCGGACATCTTCAAGTGGCCAAGGTTGAGAAACACTGCATTAGAAGCTCTGCCATTGTTAAAAGACACTCACAAAACGGGTAACCAGTTACAAATTCCCCCATTTAGAATTCCTCACCCCTTTCAGTGGAGATTCGAGAGTTCAGGATCTGAACTGGTGATCCGGGAGCGCACAGAGTCTGTAAACCTACACAAGCTTTGTTATTCACAGTTGCTTCAGCATCATGTGAGGAAAGGTGCATACACACATGCATAATGTCCTGTCCCAGTCCACAAACATGTGTTTGTGGGGTTTTACGTGTGTTGCTGTTCCCCAACATCCTGAGTGCAAGGGCAGAGCTTCAGGGATCTCTTCCCAACAAACTCAGTAACGGTCCAAAGACATGGAGTTAAGGCACAGTGTGAGGGAGTCCATAGACGTCTATGGGTCCAAAGCATGAGGAGCTCCACGCAAAGGCCAAGGGGTTGATACCAGTCCATAGGTCAAAAGCAGGAAGGAGTCAGCAGGAGGTCCAGGAAGCCAAGGCACAAGGAACTCAGTTGGCTCAAGGAAATGTAGAGCATGTGCATTAATTGCAAACCGTTGTCTCAGCCCTTGAGTTAAATAGGTGCCAACTGATGCCCCTCACTAGGAGGGGGTGAGGCTGCCTCCTTGCAAGAAGCCTCTTCAACCTGTGTTGCCACTTCCTCTGCTTAGTTCTGCCCGTCAAGGGAGGCCACGCCTGCTCTGTGCCACTCCTGCATTTCTTCTCTGGCCCATGCAACCGGATGGTCATCCGGTCTGGCTGCAGCTGAACCTCGCCTTCTGCCTGGGCAGCCGGCTGTTCATCCAGGCTCATGGATCCCTCAGACGTTCTCTCCTTGACCCGCCCACTCCTGTTGTGGAGCCTTCCGGGTCCCCTGATGCTCCTGAAGATCCCTCTTGGGTGTCCCTGGAGGCTTCTCTGTTGCCTGAGCCAGGATCCAAGGGAGCCATCGGACCTGTTCACTTGGCCTGCCACACTCGGCCCCAGGGGATTGAAAGGATCGGGGGGGGGGGGGGGAGAGAGAAGAAGAGACTGTAAATGACAATTGCATGCATGGATGGGTTCCTTCGGCAGAAGCATCCATCATAGATCCCTTCTCCCCTCTTTTTTTTGAAATTTTTATTTTATTTTAATTGAACAAAAACACAAAAAAAGGAATCATCCTTCATTACATCTTGTAGAAAGCGTGTCGATTGGTTAC